ATAAATTTTATTACCTATAAAAGGGAAAAACTTGGTGGGAGGAGAGGGGGGGGAAAAAAGGGGGCAATTTTGAATGTTAAGGAAGAAAATTTCATAAAGAAAAGGGGTTCGGTTTAAAGAAAAGAAAGTGAAACCTTAAATCTATCCCTTCTCCAAGCCGCCACCCGCTCCCTCTTGATCACGATTTTTCCCTTCTTCTCGCCAGCCAAGAGCTTGGCTCCCTAGCCCTCTAGCCATTTTTCCACTTTATTTCCTTTTCTCAGCTGACCCATTGGTTTTTCCAAAACCAAAGCAGACGCCCCTCCCTGACCTTGAAAAAACCCACAAGCGTTGTTCTTCCCCCCTTTGCCTGGCCAAAGGATAATCAAATCCTTCTCCCTCACAAACCCAACTCGGCCAAACTCTCCCTTCATCTCACCAGGGTTGTTCCTTCACAGCCAATTTTTTCCTTAGTCGCTGTGAACACCATCTCCGGCCACTCCCCCACTTCAACAGATCTTCCCTCTCAACTGCTCCCTTCTCCAGCTGCGGGTAACAGCCCGAACATAGCAATGCCCATAGACCCACCGTTGTCCCTTTCCCTAGAGGGGACACCCCCAGCACTCCTCCTTGCCGTCAGTACACGAAACAGAGGAGAAGAGCACGAACAAAAAAAAACTTATCAACCGATCTGCAGCAAAACAGATTCGAAGGAGGCTAGAGGATAGTGAAGAAGGGGCAGAAAACCGAAGCTTGGATGGGTGCCGGTCCCACAACCATGGCAGCGGTGGACAACACCGCTGTTGCATAAATGAAATGGGAGGAGGGGAGTTGCCGATCCAGCCATCCACATGCCCAGTCTGTTGGCAGTGCGTGCAACGCCTGGCTCCAGATGTGGCAGATCTGAAGGAAGAGAAGTCAGACTGAAAACAAAGAAAGAAGAGCTACAATAGAATTGCTTGTTGTGTTTTTGGTTGTTTTGCAGGTAACGGCGTTATCGTCGCCGGTGGGGAAAGTGAAGAGGGGAGGAAGCCATTTCGGATCTCCCCCATTGTGGTCTTTTCACCGCAGCTCCTGGGGCCACGCGCCCGCCAATGGCGGCAGCGCGTGGACCAGACGCTGCAGTGCTTCCACAGTTCCTGAGGACCTCCTCAGCAATTCTTGGACTCTTTAGGGACTTTTTGTAATTTTTACATGCTAGAATATGTATTTAAACTTCTGTTAAATATTTTTAGTTTATATTATGTTGTAAAAAATTGTAACAGAAAAATATAGTAAAAGGTACATAAAAGTGTATGTTTGTATTTTTATTTATTTATGTTATTGAATTGTAAAAATCAAAAAGACAAAAAAATGAAGTATTTAATTTGAATATAGTTAAATATTTAAGGATAAATAAAATTATATTATATTTTCCATGAAAATATAAGAACATGTTTTTACGTGTATTTTGGGATTTAATAATTGATTTATTAAAATCTTAGAATTTAATTAATATTTTAAAATTTTAAATTATATTAAATTGTAAAGCAACTTATCTTGAGTAGGGTTTTCTTAGAGGTTTTAATACTTTTTTTATTCATAATCAGTTTCTTATCCTTGAATTTCTGGTAACGACTAGTGCACCAGGGTTTTCTAGTAGCCTTTCATTAAATATTAGATGGCGACTCCAATGAACTAATAAATCAAAGTAACAAGTATAATGAAAAATCATTGAATCGCCATGTGGGGGACATGCGATGACAGGCTATGTGTTTATAATTGTAGGAGGAGTTATAAGCTAAATCTCTAAACTTTAGACTATTGTAGTGTTATCCACAATACAAGCTGAGTATATGACAACTACACAAGCTTGTAAAGAAGTAATATGGATAAAAAAAAACTTATGGAAGAGCTCAGGCACAAACAAAAAAAGATTCTTTTGTATTATGATAGTCAAAGTGTCTTGTATATTGCAAGGAATCTAACGTTTTATTTAAGAGCAAAATACATAGATGTTCAATACCATTTTGTTCATAAAGTAGTGGAAGATGAAAGTGTGGATTTTTAGAAAGTTTACATAAAGGAAAACTCAGTAGATGCTTTCACCAAACCAGTTAACACTAATAAGCATATATGGTGCAGATCCTCTTATGGCGGCCTAACAAAAACATAAGCAGCATGAAGATAACAAGCATAGAAAGGATAGAAGAATCACAAATGATCAAGTGTGAAGACTTGATTAAATCATCAAAGTCTTCAATTGAGAGAGTATAAAGTTATCACTTAATTAAATAAATTAAATCCACATAATTGGTGGAAGAGAAAAATGAGTGGAAATGAGTTGTTGATATAAGTGGTGGAGTATGCATGGAGATAATTTATTGGCATAATGACATAATTAGTAGAGTATGCGTGGAGATAATTTATTGGCATAATTAGTGTCATGATTTATGATCTTTATCCCCTCATTCTTGCTTATAAATAAGCAATATCTTCAAATTTATTTTGCACATCAAGATAGAGAGAAAAAGAGGAGAGTGAAGAGAGAGTAATCTTATAAAGTTGTGGGAGTATTTGTGAGAAAGTAAGTGATGTGTTTTCTCCTAATAATAGAAAAATTCTTAGTTCTTCTCCTATTATTTGAGAGATGTTATAATTCTCACCTTACTTAGTAAAATTCTTCTATATTTGTTTGTAGATTTAGTCTAATTGGAAAAATCACAAAAATTCTTATATGTTTCATTTCTCATTTTATCAGATTCCTTACCTTTTATCTTATCGGGTTTGCATGTCAGTATCCTAACAAATACAAAACTTTAGCAAATGGTATTATTGAGGTTATTTGGCTTCAATAGTTATTAACAAATCTTTAGATTCTGTCTGTTTCTGCTCCTAACATTTAGTGTAATAATTTTAGTGTCACATATTTATCTGCAAATCATGTTTTTTATTCTCACACAAAACATGTTGAAGTTTATTATCATTTTATTTGAGATAAAGTTGCAAAGTAGAAGATTCAAATTCTTTTCCTTTCCTTTCAGAATCAACTTGTATATATCTTTATAAATTCACTTTTTATTGCGTTATTTACTACTTTTTATTTTAAGTTTCGGGTCAATCCTTCACCCTCAGCTTGAGGGTACATATTATTATAGATAAAAATATTATCCACCTTAACTATTGTATATTACACATATAAATAGAAAAAGATTAGTTAAACCAAAGATTAGTTCTCCTAATTATTCTCAACTATTACCAATGAGTCGAAGATTTTGCAGGTTGAGTTTCCAAAGGAAACTCAGAACCGTTGTTTCGTAACTAGGTGTCCACAAGAGGAAGTTCTGAACCACCAATCAGTTGGGGGATTTCTAACTCATACTGGTTGGAATTCGATTATTGAAAGCTTGTGTGCTTATGGAAGGAGAGAATGATTAAGAAAACGAGGGAAAATGTCATGGACTGAAAAAGGTTGACTGAAGTGGCCACTATACCAACTGGTTCATCAATCCATTAACCTGGAGAGGTTGGTTAGTGAGGCGCGTTTGTCAAATTAATAGTTTCCGACTTCCGACAGCATTGGGAAAATGAGGGAAATGAGAGACTAAAAAATGGGAGAAACGGCATACTAAACTTTGACAATTGGGAAGGTTGCGCATGGGTGGTGCAGCTCTTTTTGATATTTGCAGCTGCTATCAATAACCCACCATTGCAGCCTTTGACAATAAACATCCTTACCTTTCAGAGTAGGCTGCACATGTTTTTATAATCGCTGCACATTAATGAAATTAATCCTAACATTTTTAGCGATATACCAACATTAGCATGGAGCAGTTATGAAAAGTTTAACAAATTGATTCATAATACATAAATGAATTTGGATGTTTACGTTATTTTCTTTTTGACACTTTTTGACAAATAACCATTGTGTTAAGAGAGTTTAAAAAGAAAACGACTCTTAAAACGACATGGAAGCTTTAAACCGAAAATGAAGGATGATGCAGAGGCATGGCATGGCAGTCATCTTTTAACTAAGATCAATCCAGAAATTAATTTATCACCGCCTACTATTCTTGAGTTTCGCAGAAGCCTCCAACTAGGTATCCAGGCATGCTTGTTGAGTGAGATTTTTCAACATCTACCGTTCTTGAATTTTGCAGAAGGCTCCATTTAAACAATGAAGAATAATATATTTGTTTTTAGGTTTTAAAATTTAAAAAAAATGGAATTTTTTATGTGTTTAATGAAGTACAATTTTTCTTTTTTAATGCTATGGAATAAGTAAATTGTAGAGTCATCAACTGAGAGTAAATGTGTAATATTTTACTTTCTATGCATATCTTACAGCTCCAAAATTAACATGTTTCCTACTCAAAATATATATCCTCAAAATTAACTGTTCGGATAGTCAAAACCCTTGGCTCCATACATTAAATTTGACAATGCGTTGGGGATGGCTCCACTCTTCCTCATGACATGCTGTCAATTTGAGCAGTTTTTAAACTCACGGCACTAGCAATGTGTGTTGTGTCTATCATGACAGCAAGGGCCGGTGGTCCAGGGAGGGAGGGAGACAGAGGGTGGTGTGGTGCCGGTTTCCACATTTATGTGGATTTAATCTCGTTATTCCAAAACAATTTATCCAACTGTCAGTAAGAAGAAAAGGATGAATGATGCTGTATATAATTGAATTACAAGGTTTCAATTATTTGTATATTTGAACTTTTTTTAGATTAAATTAATTCAATTCATTATGTTCATTGCTATAAATAAATTTTTCTAGCTGCCATTATCTGGATATATATTTTAATAATAATTTTCAATGAAAAAATAACTGGCCATTCATTCATACCTCTAGAAAAAGGGCCACTGATAGATGCTGGAGATAGTGCAATGTTACGTTACAGGCTGCCAGACAATTTTGCTGATAAGATTTTCTAGCTTATAGTGACAATTAATTTGTGAAGTCCTTGTATTTGGAAGGTACTTGTGAGCTGTGATGCAGAAATTAATTAGTTGCTTGATTTGGAAATAGAAAAACATCCATTTCTGGCTATAAATGACAGGACAAGAATCATTGAGAGTGAACAGAGAGAAGCAAGCAAGCTAGCTCGTAAGAGAGGTATGGGATCCATTTCGAAGCCTCATGTTGTTGTGATCCCATGTCCACTCCAAGGTCATCTAAAGACTATGCTTAACCTTGCAAAGCTTCTTCACTACAAAGGTCTTCACATCACGTTTGTCAACACAGAATTCAATCACAAACGTTTCCTTAGGTCAAGAGGACCTCATGCCCTTGACGACTTGCCTGGCTTCCATTTTAGAACCATTCCTGATGGCCTCCCTCCTTCAGATATTGATGCCACCCAAGACATACCTTCTCTTTGTGATGCCATGAACAAGAATTTCTTAGCACCCTTTAAAGATCTTCTTTTACAACTCAAAAATACCGTATCGGAGAACAACCCTCCGATTACCTGCGTTGTTTCTGATCCCTTCGCTCCGATCTCCATCAAAGCTGGGGAAGAAGTTGGTCTTCCAGTTGTGATGTATGCCACTGTGAATGCATGTGGCTATATGGGATTTAAACAGCTCCATGCTCTTAGAGAGAGAGGCTTCACCCCAATCAAAGGTAATTCACATGCTAGTTTATTATTTAAGTTATCATCAATTACAAGTGAACTCCCAAGCAAAGTGGCTTTATTACACCATTATACAACTTCTTTAGTATTTTGCTGCTTTATTCTTTTCTAAATTTTCAAACATCCAGATTCTCCCTTGCAAGTTGATGGAGAAATGATTATAAAACATTATCACGACAACAATTTCTTTTATTTATAATATAATATATTATATTATGTTTATATATACTGTACGTTCGACGGCATAATTCAAAAAACATGCCATATATAGAACCGTCTAAATTTTATATAATATTCTTTTCCAAATCACTTCTCTAAAAATCTGCCAATTATTAAATCAGATAATCCTAGAAATCATAAAAATTTTATGATGGTGGGAGTGTACTGTGCATTATTCTAGGTTTTATTTATTTATTTATTAGTAGTCTTTTTTAGCGGAAGATTTATTTTGGATTCAAGCTTGGAATCTCATTTTTTCAGCATAACATGGAGTATTAGGCTTATAAAAAATAATTTGATTTTTAACAAGGTGTAGCCAGAATGGGATACCACTTTCTTGTATGAACCCAAATCAGTGGTGTATGTGAATTTTGGAAGCATTACAGTGATGACAGCTGATCAACTTGTGGAGTTTGCAATGGGATTAGTTAATAGTAATATCCCATTCTTGTGGATTATAAGGCCAGATTTGGTCATCGGTGAATCAGCTGTTTTACCAGCTGAATTTGCAGAGGAAACTGAAAGGCGTGGCTTTATTACAAGTTGGTGTCCCCAAGAGGAAGTGCTTAACCATCCAGCAGTTGGAGGGTTTCTAACTCATAGTGGCTGGGGTTCAACCATTGAGAGCTTGTGTGCTGGTGTTCCAATGGTGTGTTGGCCCTTCTTCGCTGATCAAGCAATGAACTGTAGATATAGCTGCAATGAATGGGGAGTTGGAATGGAGATTGATAATAACGTCAAGAGGGAAGAAGTGGAGATGCTGGTGAAGGAGTTAATGGAAGGGGAAAAGGGTGAGAAAATGAGGGGAAAGGCTATGGAGTGGAAAAGGTTGGCTGAAGAAGCTGTTGGGCCAGAGGGTACATCATCCATTAATTTGGACAAGTTCATCCATGAAATAATCTCTTCAAACAATTAGATCGTCACACTAGAAATAAAAAATTCATGAAAAGATCAAATTTCGTTCGTCTGTGAAAAGATCGAATTTCCTTCCCTGTCTGTTGCCTTCTATTGGAATTTAAATATCATAATAAATAAATGCTTCATTTTCGAACATGGTGCAGGCCAACTTCTGGCATTCCATATTTCAAAGCTACCATGGATTGTTGATGTGATTAGATCATTGATCATGTAGTTTCTCCTACCAAGGCAGCGATTCGCATCAATTAATCATGTGGGAGACTCTAAAAAAGCATGAAAAACTTGTGTATATGGATTGTTGACTGCCATCTTAAAAAACTAATAACTTAAATAATGATTTGCATGCCATTGAATTTATTTATTTTTCTGTGTTAGGTTTAGTAGTTAGAAATATTTTGGGATCAATCTATACATTAATTGAAATTAAATTTGTTTTTAAATATATTTTAGAAGAATAGATCTAATTATTAAAATCAAGAAATTAATCAATAGTTACTTGGATTTTTAGTACCTCATTAGTATTTAATTCATAAAATTAAAAAAATTCAACATATAAAAATAAAATATGCAAGAGATTTAATTATATCAATGAATCATCTCAACTCAATAGTTTAGGTTATTAGTTAAAGTCCTAATATGTTATTTATTTTATTTTCTAATGCACCTTGTTAAATAAAAGTTATTTAAACTTAAAACTTGTAAAAGTCTACATTATCTTATTCTTATTTTTTATTAAATAAATAGAATTATCGAACTCGTGACTGCTTAGTTATCAAAGCTCTAATGTAATGTTAATGAACCATCTCCACCTAATAATTTAAACTATTATATAAAATTTTAATATATAATTTATATTATTTTATGAGAAATTAACGTCCATCCCCTCCAATATACTACAATATACCGTATTGATATATTTTGAGGTTGGATGGCAATTTAATTTGATAAAGGACGTGCATAATTAATCCCTCAATAAGTATAATTGAGATTCCTTGATGTTTCTAGCCATGCGTCTCTCCCTTTCCCGATCCTTCAGCTACAAATTCACACACTTCTGTCCATTGCTGGCCCACAGCATTAACTTGCTAGTTTGAAGATAGAGAGAGACTTGATAGATAGTGATACTTATATAGAGATGAAACAGAGATGAAGAAGGAGCAGAAAGTAGGAAGGAAGAAGAACAGAGAATGAATCTGTTTATACAGAGAAGCAGAAGGCGAAATTCATGCACTGTTATATTATTGCTTTTGCTTAACTCTTTACATTACTATTTCTCACTTTATATATGCACTATTGGAAAGACAGTACACGGATAATATGCTTTCTTTTACACTCAATATATTGCTAACAATGCTAACAGATTCTCTTTTATTAACAAACACTACTAACAGAATGCTAACAATATTAATTGCTAATCTTCTGACACTTAGCATTATTATGACAGTTGATATCTTTACAAGACGGAGACACAAAAGAGAGGAGAAGAAGAAGACGGAGAGTAGAAAAAACAAAGATATTGAGAAAAGAGAGAGGAGATTGGCTCTGGCCTACCCTGAAAAGGAGTTTACAAAACTGTAAAAGTTTTTAAAACCCCTAACGGCTAAAAAAGGAAGGCTTTCTTTGGTATTTAGAGGCAAAAAGGCGAGGGCTTTTTCATCTGTCTTTACTTCATCTTTTGCATTCAAGCAAACAACATCTGCAGGTATAAGCCACCTTCTTCTTTTTGGTTATATTCTCTTTTTTTTTTTTTTTTTGATTTTCATAGGTGTCCGGATCAGTTTGCGCGCACCTTCTTCTTTTTTGTTATATTTAAACTAGGCATCTGTTGGTTGTTCTGTTCCAAGCCTGTTTCTCCCTTTGCTCTGAGCATGCAGTTTTTGTGTGGACAAAATTTATATGCTCACCCACTAATTAATCTTTCATGGCTTTGAGTTTAGCTTATTGTTTATGTTGAAGGCGTGTTTTTTTTCCTTATTCCCCTACCGCGAGAAACCATGAGCTTCAAAGACCCTCACCATTTTTTTTTTCTCTGTTCGGGTACCTCCTTAGTTCTAAGTTTCTGTATAGAAGGAGCTGTGCTCCTAAATGTAGTCTGTCCAGAGGATAAAGAAAACACAAAGAAAGTTCCTTTTTAGTTCAAGTAACGTTGGCATGTTCTGAGGAAGGTTATATTTTTTCCATCCCTTTACTACTCGCTGGAGAAAGGATAGCCGACCATGATTTTTTTTTTTTTATGGTTTTTAGTCTGTGATATACATGATATAAAGGCGTCCTCCCCAGTGTTTTCTTTCTGATTTCATGAAACGAGTATGGCAGTGTCAGAAATTAGAAAAAGGACGGGCGGGAGCAACGTTTTCTGTTATAGTTTTGGTTTTCAAACGTTTAGCTTTCATATTTACATGACTTACTCCCTTCTGTTGAAAACGATGGTCATGCTATGTTTAGGCTTTGAGTTGAGAGACCGATTCTGTTTTGATGAGATTTGGCTTTAGATGACCTTCTTTCCGGGTTCCTCCTGCTTCGTCTTACATGCACTGTCTAAGTTTTACGAAATATATGTGATGGTTTATCGTTTTAATTGTGGTTTAATGTGATTTGTTGTTTTAATTGTGATTTACCGTGATACTTGTGTTTCAATTATAATAAAAATGCTTTTCTTATATTGTATACGGCTAACATTCTAATATATTTTAAATATTTTTTTTTAAATCAAATATTTAAAGTTTTAAAAAATGTTATTTTAGCATGGATTTTTTAAACACAAAAAACAATTATTTTCTTGCATTTTAGATTTTATAACATGTTTATAAATCTCAAAGGGTATTGACCAATATTCCAAAAATATAAAAATCTTATTTTTAGAGAATTTATCTTTATTCACTATTGATATTTGGATAAAAAAATTTCAAAGGGATAAATATTCAAAATATTATTAAGAATAATTTATTATTATTAACTGCTAATATTTAGATAAAGAAATTTTAAAAGGGTTAATAACCAAAATATTATTGAAAATAATTTTTTATTATTTACTGTTAATATTTGGATAAAAAAACCACAAGCGATTAATATCTAAAATATTTCTAGAAATAACAATTCATTATCCCTTAATAATTTAAAGTCAAAGAAACATATGAAAAGTAAATGTTCAAAATATTGTTAAGAATAATACAACTTGTTTATTTTTAATATAATGGTAGATTTATGTCCAAAATATTATTTAGAACAATTTCATTGCACATCCTTAAAAGAAGCTTCAATTATAATTAGAGATATTTTAAATTTTGGTTTCCCAATTTATGAGTCATGAAAGTATGAAATATTAAGGCAAAAATAGGATTTTAAAACACATTGAATTTTCATAAATTTCTAACTTAGTTTTTTTTGTTTCTATTCCTTACTATTTACGAGTTGCAAACACTTGAAATACTAAAGTAAAAATAAGTTTTTATACACATTAAATCTCCTTAGATTTCTATCTTAATTGTCTCTTAGATCATAGATTAAATTTAATTCAAATTAAATGCAAATTTCAAGATATCTATATCGGTTTTTCTAGGCACTCTATAGACATATCTAAAGATATAATCAATATTGACAAAGAGTTTTTTCTTTTAGACTTTGAACCCAAGTCCATTCATTATAACAAACTCATCCTATGAAAACTAATTAGAAAACATCAACACCATAGTAATGATAAGACAAATCAAACATCGAACAACTTATATTATGTAAGATGTAATAGGAGTATTAAAACCTTCCATTTACACTCATTCACTTGCCTTAAAATCTCTAAAAAATCAATTAAATTTTTTAGTGATTATAATACTAGATGTGACTTTATTTTTATAAAAATATAGACCACAAAATCAATTTCCTGCTCAAGATAGGATCACCATAATGTCGTGCGCTCGAAAAGGTACAATAATATTAATAAAAAAAATTTTTATCTCATGGATTTAAAGGCCAAGTTAAGACTCGAGATAACATTTTTAACCTACTAGTTTTGGTAATTTAGTTCATAATTTGATTTTATAAAGTGTTTAATGGATCATGCCTGATATCTATATAAAAGATACTTTTCTTTAAATTTTGAAGACTCTTTAATAATTAAATTAATATTATTTATTTTAATGAATGACGCGGATGTTCACTCTACAATTGAGATTCTTGATGTTTCTAGCTACCATCTCTCCCTTTCCCCATCACTAATAATGAGAGCGAGTTGTCGTTCAAATCTTTCAGCAGTATATCCACACTCTTCTGTCCATTGTTGTCTTGAGAGGCTGGAGAGACTATTAACGAGAATCAACTGTTGAAAGCTAGTGTTCAGGAGTTCCTATGATTTGTTGGCCCTTTTTTTTCTGGTGAGGCAATAAACAGTAGCTATATATGCTGGTAGTGAGTGGGGAGTTGGTGTGGAGATTAAAAATGATTTCAATGTCCAAATGTTAATGGAAGGAGAAGAGGGAAAGAAAATGAGGGTAAAAGGCATGCAGTGGAAGAAGTTGGCTGAAAGGCTACGGGCGCAAAAGGTTCATCCTCCACTAATGTGACAAACTCGTAAATGTACTTTTTATTTTTAACTATTCAAGTAGTGGTCAAGTGGTCAAGTGATAATTAAATTCGAATTTTTAATTATTTATATAATAACCACTAAAGATTTATATAATCATTAATTTTAAAATTTATAGAATTAATTGTAATACATGCAAACTGACTCGAATATCCACGTTAATAAAAAAATTTATAAATAAAATATTCTAATAAATCTGTTAGTTATTTTAATGCTAGAAAAAGAAAACAAGTTTCATGATTGGATTTTATTGATTATTTGTTGGAGAAATGGTGTTTTATGTGAAAATGAATGTGATTGCATCAATGGGATCCACAAAGAACGTCTTGAATCCAAGGTAATTATGAAAAGCTTGATTGTCTGTTGACAACTCATGTGTATACTTGTCTCATGTGTATACTTGTTAAATCTGACTTGGGCGGACAAATTAACTCAAAAAACCAATAATGTAAATGGCGTTGAATTTGTAATCGAATCATGTAAACTATTGATTTCTTTAAAACTTAATCACCACGAAAAATAAAATAATTGAACCTGTACAAGATCCCGTGACACAA